AAATCCTATAAATGTCTGTAAGTAAAATAAATCAACAGTCCTAAACCGATTTTTAACGTTTTAAGATGGTGACATTACCGGTTCGATCGACAAACCCCATATTTTGTGTACTCATCAGTAGTGTCGTAGCTAGTAGAGAAAATAAAATTTCAAGTCGATCTGTCCTACTTTTCATCGACTGTTTTTAGAACGTCCATCCTTAATTTCCCAAGGGGAGATAAGTTAGAAAATTTCTAATGACATAGTTGGATAAATAAGACCTACTTATGAAAAGCGTACAAATATTACAGAAATCGCCAAAATGGTTCCTAATTCCTTGATTAGAAGTCAATGACGTAATTTTCGAAATTCGAAAATTTGAAATAGCAAGTAAATGTTTCAAGGTACAGTAAAGCAAATTGGTTAAATAGTCACAAAGTTGCAGTTATTTAGGTCAATTTTTTCGTCCACAGTAAAATTCAGTGATTTCGGATTCGTTGAACATTTTCAAAATATATTCATTCCGAAGCCTCAGCTTATTATCGGAAGAAGGTTAACCAGAAATTTATCAATTTCAGAAATAGGAGAATTCACGAAACGACGGCCTATTCCGAATATTTCCAAGCCGTTGATGCAGATTTTTAACTTTTTGGTACGAAAAACGTCAAAGTGGTAATTGTAAAATTTGAAATTTTCTAATACCCAAAGTTTGGCCTTTAGTCATACTATCCAGAAATGTATTGATTTCGGAAATAGGAGACACATTTTCCAAACTACGGCCTATTATGTTTATTTCTACGTCCATTAACCTCGATTTTTCACTTTTTTCATATTCAATTCAAACTGGTCAATTGACCAAAATCAAAATTCTGCTTTGAATATGTTTTAGGCATTCTTTCAAAAATTCAGAAAATGTAACTCCCATGTCTGTAACTGTAAGTAAGTTGTCGCAAATTTTTCATGTTTCAAGATGGTGGAACTTCTGGTTCGATCGACAAATTCAACATAATTTGTACACATCAGTAGTGTCTAAGCTAGTACAGAAAAAAATTCAAGGCAATCAGACCTACTTTTCTTCGATTCTTTGAAAAATCTGATCCTTATATAATTAATTTATCCAATTGGAGATAAAATGTTTTATGACATAGTGCACGTTGAAAGAATCAGATCTACCTATATGCCAAATTTCTTGAAAATCGTGATAATATTAAATGGCTCTCAAATTAGTTTTTACATCCGGGATGAGATGTTAATGACATAATTTTCGAAATCCAAAAATCGGAAATAGCAGATTTGACGTAAATGCTTTAAGGTACTCAAAGATAAAAAAGAATTAGTAAAATAGGTTAAAATGTCACAAAGTTACAAATATGTAGGTCATTGTTTTCGTCAGTAAAATTCGTTGATTTTGGATTCATAAAACGTTTTGAAAATACATTCATTCCAAAGCCACCACCCATTCTTGACAGGAGGTTAACTAGAAATATATTAACTTCGGAAATAGGGGTCGAATTCACGAAACAACGGCCTTGCGGATTTTTCACTTGTAAACAACTTTGTCGGCACGAAAAACGTCAAAGTGGAAATTCGATTTTTTTTTAATTTTTCAAATAGAAAAAATTCGACCATGAGCCAGGCTACGGTCTATAGTCCGGCAGAACTATGGCTGAACCTGGTCATTGTATATAAAGTTTTTTTTTATGGTTTATTTTAGTAGCCTAAAGTGTACTCCTTCAGAATCTTCCGGGTGAACCTGGGTCACCCTTGAGCGTTTTGAAAAATTCAAGATGGCGCCAAAGACGGTCGCCAATTCAACAAAAAATCCACTATAGTATTTTGTCTAGGATAATTATTGTGTTTAACCGTATGTATTTGGGACCAAGGAATACACTGAAATCATTCATTATGTTGTGGGGTGATAGTAAAATCCAAAATGCCAGACAATATGAGCCTTTAACTCAAAACTGTAGCCTCTATTGCTTTTCGGAGGTTTTCAGGGGTTAACTCCGGAACAGAGTTTTGTGGAGCACTGATTATTGATGGAGTTCGTCCTCCCATGAACGTACAATCAGGGGTAATAATCCAGAAATTTAAGGTTCGACATGTGTCCGAGTTATTTGGGAAATAAACATACATTGTAAGCTTCATCTAAATTGGATAAAAATTGTGACCTGTAGAGTGTCCACAAACAAATGTGAACAATGGTAACAGCATGATACGAGTTGATTATTGGCTTGTCATGTGAATAAATGTCTAATTAATACTTTATATAACATATGTTCGTTAAAAAAGTATTAACATTAGTGTTACTTTGCTCTTATTTTTTGAAAAATTTTCACAAGTTGTTTTCCTTTATTTTGTTAATGTAGAATGGTAATGAACTACTCTTTTCATTTTCTTTGTTTTCTTTGTTTCGTTTGAATTTGATTTATCTGTTTAGTTTTTGATTGTTTAATTTTTGTTAATGAAGTTGATTCTTTTAAACTTCGTTTTTTATTTTTGAACTCTACTTGGTGTAGGTGTTCATCAGGTAATACCTCGACTGAGTTCAATATAGAGATTAGCCGGTTGATTTATTGGATATAAACCTTTGAATAATAGCGCCTAACAGGCAGCTGTGTTTAATTGTGTTTAATTATGTTCTCCTGATTTTGATTGTTTCTGTGTGTTTGAAGTAAATGTTTGTGATATGTGCTTAGAAACACTTCATGTGTAATGAAGCGCTATATAAATCGAACAATAATAATAATAATAATAATAGCGGCGGATAGGGGCGATTATTCCACCAAACCAAACTATATCTTAGAGACAAACTATATATTTCTGGGCATATGAGTAATACGATAACATCATATACATATGTTCCTTGATCCAGAAATATATACTTTGTCTCTAAATATAGGTTGGTTTGGTGAGATAATGACGCTCAACCACCATTAACGAGTTAATGAGCCATATTGTCTGGCATTTTACTATCATCTGATCACTCCATATCAGAATGAATGATTTCAGTGTGTTCCTTGACCCCAGGAACAGACGTTTAATCACCAAAATTATCATCCTAGAATATTTACTATGGGAGCTATAGGGGATTATTAGAAATGGCGGCCGTCTTGGACGCTATCTTGAATTTATCAAAACGCTCAAGGGGTACCGAGGTTCACCCGACAGATTCTGAAAGAGTACACCATAGGCTACTAAAAGCAATCATAAAAAACTGTGAATACAATTTCCAAGTTCACTCGAAATATTGGTTTTTTGCGACCGGACTACTATTGTTTTTATTTACAAGCCCGTTAATGTAGATTTTTCACTATTTTCACATTCAATTAAAAAAAGTGACCATTGGTTGACCTAAATCAAAATTCTGATCTGAGCGTTTTTTTAGACACACCTTCGGGGATTTAGAAAATATAACTCCCATGTCTGTAAGTAAAATATCGCAAAAGCCTTTTGGATTTTTCACATTTCAAGATGGTGGCACTTCCGGTTCATTCAACATACTCCATATTTTGGTACTCATTAATTGTGTATTAGCTAGTAAAGAAAATTGTTTTCAAAACAATATGCCCCTTTTTTCGATTTTTAAAAAAAAAAAATCAACATTAATCCTTAATTTCTCCAATTGAAGGTACTTTTGGGAAATTTTTAATGATATTGTTGAAGTTGGATCAATGAGATCTACTTACATTCCTAATTTCATAAACATCGTACTAATATTAAAGAAGTCGTAAAGTTGGATTTTACTTCTGAGTTAATTTTCGAAATCCAAAAATCGGAAAAAGCAGATTTAAAATAAATGTGTACTTAATGAAAAAAAATAATTAGTAAAATAGGTCAAACAAGTTACAAAGTTACGGCTATGTAGATCAATTTTTTCGTTCGAAAAACTCAGTGATTTCGAATCCGTAAAACGTTTTGATATTGTATTTATGCAAAAGCCATCATGGGAGGACGGGGTAGGTCAAAGTTTCAGAACGTTCCTATGGTTAGATTCTGAGAATTTCAATTTGTGGACAAAACACACAAAAAAATAACTAGACCTCTTAAGGAGTACTGACATGTTTCGGTATGTTACGTATCACGCCAACATTCAAGTTACACCATCAATTATTGAGTACAGTAGCAACCAATATTTATATTTTGACCTTATAATCGACAACAATGTCTAGTAATAAACGGAATATCCTGGGACCCTGGAGGCATAGTGTTTTTGTTCAAGTTATTATTAAGGTTTCATATTTTATATGAACGCTTATTGTCTGTGTGAAAATTATTATTAAGCTTTCATATATAAGCATATTGTATTTGTTAAAGTTATTAAGATTTTCCTAAATAGTTTATATATATAAATCTTTGATGCTAATAATCTTTGATGGTAAAATTAAACTAATGAACTTCTGAATTTTGAAATACCGTCAATCCGGAGATGAGAAAAACGAAAACCTGGTGAAGATCCGTTGAGAAATAACCGAGATAAAGGCATTCTGAGATTATCCGTAAAACACTTCCTATTTATATCCCAATTTATATTTTTAAATAGTCCCACGGGGGCCAACCACAACTGCATTGAAATAATGTTGGCACCGTGTACATGTTTAAGCTGCCAATTCTTACTAAATTCCACAAAAATGTCCAAATCACGTAATAATAAAAACTCTTACAGAAACACTACGCCTTTCGACCGAAGGTCCGATAGAAACCATCACAAAAGCAATACGTAATAATTTTAATAAAAACAATAGTATGTCAGACGAAAAAATCCAGCAATGTTTCACACAAGCTAATTAGTGTGAAACCCTAATTCTATAATGGTTTGTTAAAATTTCTTGTTTTCTTAATCTGCAACTGGACAGCGACAGTGAACACTGGACTGTTGCCTTAAAAAAATAACAAACCTTGAGATCCTTATTGTCATCATTAACAATATAATATAACAAACAACCAAATACGAACTATCTTCCCAAGTGGAATTCGTTTAACTGTATTGCGAATGGAAAGTGTTTATAGACAAAACTCACCGTATATTACAGGTACCAGGCATAGGAATGCTGTAACCCAATAAATCAAATTCATCATTTCTTTACCTGAAATAAAATCGTAAATGCATTATAACAATAACATTACATTAGACGGGGACGCCTCACTATGACCGCTCCTACTATTTTAGGCTATGAGATGCTGTCGTTGGTATTTCCACCTTTTCGGTTGTAATCGACTACCAAATTATACCGGTCCCCTCAGGTATATGCATATATAATATGCCAGCCTTAAACAATCCTCAGTAGAACAAGACTAGTTGTTTGAGGAAGATGCCCTTGCATGTCATTGGTAGTTCTGTTTCCTTCAGTGGAACGATTTTCTCGTAGTTGACAATTCTCGTTCTTTCAAATGAGAGAAGGTTCGGCCAACATTGACTAACAGTTCTCGAAATCAGGACTTTTCTATTAAATTACAACTGTAGAATTTTTCGAGTTTCGAAATTTCCGTTCACAAAACGGTCTGTGTGATAGAGTCTAGCATATATACTATCAAATAGTATCAATACTAGACTTTACAAATACATTAATCTTTGTATTCTATTCACGCCTATGTATACACATGTGTCTTGATATAGGCGTAGGAGCACATAATATTTTTCGGGGTTCGGGGGCAATTTTATGAACGAGGCAATTCTCTTACGCTACCTATATGTTACAACATATGAACAATTTTAGCATCATTTCCTGACTTGACCTCTAGCTGACACCAATGACCTCTAGATGGCAACTGTGACCACATTATTCATGCATTCCTATATGGCCATAGTGAGGATTAAATCTAAATATCAAGATCAGGAGATGTAAACAAGTCGGTTAGGACCCGTGATTGTTGCCGAGGGTTGTAGGTTAGGATTAGAACTGGGTCTAGGTTTAGAGTTACAACTAGTGACCTTGACGAAATCTACTGATGATCTTATATTTAGACCTAATTTAAAAATTCTCTTACGCTGTTTTTCTTGAAGATTGGGCATCCGAATGACTAACGAGTGCTTTTTTAATCAGAAGGTCTGTGACTGAGTCAAATGGCATGGTCTTCTAATATTTAGAACCGATTTAATAATTCTCTTAAGCTGATTTTCTGTCACTGAGTCAAATGGCATGGTTTCAATTCCCTGCTTGTACGTGACAAGGAGTAGCGTCGCCTGTCCAACCTCGTGGATTTACCCTTAGGTGCAAGTGTAGTAAAATGGATGGGAGATTTGTGCTAAAGAATTTGTATGTATAAAAATATTATGGCCTTGATTAACTGGATTTGGGCGCTACGGCAGTTCCAAAATATGTAGTAAGAAACGATGCATGGGTTATACGCCGAATGTGGCGACCGGTTTAGCGTCTTCCGCTCCTTGCGTCTGGCAGACGACATGGTGCTATACAAGCGAATTATTAAAATAAAATTGAACCATATGTTAGTCCAGAAATCTCTCTTTGTAGGGCAGTTATTCGCGAATAACGAATAACAAAACAGAACGTGTTTCGTTATTCGGGATTCAAATTTTGAATAACGAATAACGAGATAGAACGTTATTCGGAATTCAAATAAAATTATATTTTTATACGCCCACATTTTCATGTGGACGTATTATGCCGTCGCCCCTGTCCGTCCGTCCGTCCGTCCGTCCACAATTGTTTGTGGACTCTCTACAGGTCACAATTCTTATCCGATTTCGACGAAACTTGAAATATAGGTTTATCCCCAAAAGGTCTCGGCTGCTTTCGATATTGGCATGTATCGGATCGAAACTTCATGGATTATGGCCCCTGTGTGTACGAAAAATCACGTTTTTAGCTTGTGGACCCTATAGAGGTCACAATTTTTATCCGATTTTGTTGAAACTTGAAATGTAAGTTTATAACCCAAAGATCTCAGTTCCTGTCGATATTTGCGCATATCGGACAGTAACTTCCTGAATTATGGCCCCTGATTGTACGAAAAATCACGTTTTTAGCTTGTGGACCCTATAGAAGTCATAATTTTTATCCGATTTAAGAAAACGTATTATTATATCACCGTTACACCTTAAGGATGACTGAGTTCGAATTTCGTGAAAATCGGCCCAAAATTGACAGACAAAATGGCCGCCGTTCGTTCCCAAATAGCGTAAGAATATGGTATATCAAGGTTGTGGACCCTATAGGGGTCACAATTTTTATCCGATTTTGTTGAAACTTGAAATGTAAGTTTATAACCCAAAGATCTCGGTTCCTGTCGATATTCGTGCATATCGGACCGTAACTTTCTGAATTATGACCCCTGATTGTACGACAAATCACGTTTTTAGCTTGTGGACCCTATAGAAGTCATAATTTTTACCCGATTTAAAAAAACGTATTATTATATCACCGTTACACCCTAGGGACGACTGAATTCGTATTTCGTGAAAATCGGCCTAAAATTGACAGACAAAATGGCCGCCGTTCGTTCTCAAATAGCGTAAGAAAATGGTATATCAAGGTTGTGGACCCTATAGAGGTCACAATTTTTATCCGATTTTGTTGAAACTTGAAATGTAAGTCTATAACCCAAAGATCTCGGTTCCTTTCGATATTTGCGCATATCGGACCGTAATTTCCTGAATTATGGCCCCTGATAGTACGAAAAATCGCATTTTTAGCTTGTGGACCCTATAGAGGTCATAATTTTTATCCGATTTAAATAAAAACGTATTATTATGTCACCGTTACACCCTCAGGACGATGGAGTTCGAATTTCGTGAAAATTGGCCCAAAATTGACAGACAAAATGGCCGCCGTTCGTTCTCAAATAGCGTAAAAATATGGTATATCAAGGTTGTGGATCCTATAGAGGTCACAATTTTTATCCGATTTTGATGAAACTTGCAATACATATTTATAACCCAAAGATCTTGGTTCCTTTCGATATTCGCACATATTGGATCATAACTTCCTGAAATATGGCCCTTGATTGTACGAAAAAATCACTTCTTTTTTTGAGCTTGTTCTCTGTCCATCTCTTGCAAAATGTGGGCGTATCTTGCATGGCAACCGCTTGTTTCTTTCTTAAAAATTTCTTGTCCCATTTTAATTTAATTCAAATATAAAATGGATGTCTCAGCGGTACAGAAACTTCTTTCGCGTATGTGTCATAAAACAATCCATTTTGCTTTTCGAGCTTGAATAACGCATAACGAGTCGGGACGTGTTTCGATATTCGGGATTCAACTTTTGAAAAACGAATAATAAGACAAGATGCTTCGGGATTCAAATAATTTTTTTTTATCTAATTGACCTATTAGAAGGACGTACGAGCAGTAAAAGAAATGAAATGGGGTTTAACATCCCACTGTTTTGAACGAATAACGAAACACGATCTAATTTCACACATCCAGAAAACAAAATCACAATTTCAACGTTAGATAATTTCTAGGCTAGGATTCAATCGGATTGCTTTATTCTAATCCTATACATGTATGCACTTAAATGACCAAAAGCATTGTCTCGGGTAAACCCCTTAAACTTATGACAGTTTGTGTTTACTGTACCCTACATATCCTTTAACGTGGATGCTGAATGTTGATCATTTTGAATTCAACATATTTACTGAAAGAAATGTAAAAGTTTTTAAAACTGATTTTCACTTTTTAAAATTTAATAGAGTTATTATGAAATATTTCTTACTATATACAAATATGAAATATTAATAGAGTTATTATGAAGTACTATATAAAGATATAAAATAATATTAATAGAGTTATTATGAAATATTTTCTACTATATATACCTTTCTGTGTTGAATTGTTCTTGTATTTCAAGCAAACGTCAACTGCAGATGGATAGGTACTGTTTAAGGTATTCTGTCTGTTGGTATATCTTTATGTATATACGTGTGGGTGGGTGTGTTTATAGTCACCCCCTAGCAACGTTTCAAACATTCATTAAAAAACAATGCGTGATTTAAACGCTGTCGTATATGATTGGTTTGGTAGCTGATGACTAATGCTACTATAAATATCTTCATATATATGGTGTAAATAAAATTAGCTTGTTGTTCGTTGTTTGTTGTTCAGTATTCGCGAATAACGAACAACGAGTCAGTTTGTTGTTCGTTATTCACCAGATATGGACTTAGTAATATAATAAAGACACGTTTATAGGGAATACGCACGGGATGGGGATCATAGGGAAGTTTCGTCGATGAAACTGGAATTGAACAATATCCGAATTGAATTTAAAGATCAGGTAATGCTTCTAGCGGTGACCTTGGATCGCAAAATTACTTTTATACTACATATTGAAAATATTTTTTAAAAGAGGACAGAATTTTTTGAATATAATGAGATCCTGGGGACCAAATAAAACGACCCTGCTAATGATATATAGGTTGGGACAACTGTCCAACATTTAAGTGTACAAAAACATCAAAGAAACAATTCAAGGGAAATGTTAAATCAGAGACTCAGCCGTTCGGTCACAGAGCAAATAATCTATTAAAAGACTTAAGATTATATCACTATCAGATTACTGGCAGGGTATTTTCGTATCAAGCCCCATGGACTTTATCAAATCCACACTATGACATACGCCTAGGTAACGTTGTTCAGAAGAAAGAAAATCCACAACACCCTTAAATGAAATCCGGAGAATTCTTGAACGAGAAATGGTCATCTCATGTGAAAATAAACAAGGACGGGTCTCAAGTTCCAAACACAACCAATACTGCACTATGTGTAGCCATTCCTGAAATTAATGTTAATATATCAAAAAGGCTACCAGACGGATATTCCATATATACAGCCGCATTAAAGGCAATATCCAAAGCTCTTGGGTGGCTTGCGTCATCCACCGTTCAAAGAGCAGTCATTGTGTCAGACTCCTTTAGCATCACAAAGTTAATATTACCTGACAAAACAACATCTACACAAGAAATTGTTTAGAATATTCGAGCAAGTGTTTATTCCCCCCGTAACAAAAATAAAACTGTAGAATTTGCATGTATACCATCCCATGATGGCGTAGTAGACAATCTCCCTCGCAAAGGACTCAGCCCCTGCGAGACCGAAGACTTTAAATATAGCGTTCAGGAATTTAATAGCATCGTTTTAGATTTAAATTAAATAACAACCTGATTGTAAAGACGGGGGCAAATCACCCATCGCGCAATATTTGTGGGTTAATCACAAGACCGAGTGCTAAAGATTTAATTACCGACCACAAATATAAACCAGTGATGTGCGAATGCGACCATATCTTGACCGGTCATTATGTCGTCATTGCGTGCAATACATTGGAAGAGAAAATACTCCTTGTAAGAAGTTTAATGAAAGATGCCAAAATTCAATATACCCTCCAAACTACCCCCCCCCCCCCCCCGGGATATGTCATATAAAATTGATGCAAGTTTTCTCAAAATTTATAGCTGAATCGGGAATTAACTGTTAAGTGAGTTGTGAAAAAAGAGCACTAGTCGTGGAAAGATAACTGGTTGTGTAGACCACGTTGGCCCCTAAGCCACCTGAATGATTAAATATTTGAATAAATTGACATTAAGATAGAAGCTGCATATCTTGTTACCAATGAAGAGACTATTGTTGTCAGCTGGACCTCCGGTTTTAACTTGTTTTTATTATGACGAAGGGAGAAGATGACCCAACCTCTCTTCTCACGATTTGATAAGTATGTTTTAAGGTGACTTTTTGATAGTCAAAGACTTTTTTATTTTGTGTTTACTTTTTTATTTTGTGTAAATAATTTAATTAAATCAACCTGTCTATAACATCATATTTAATGTATTGGACGTTCAATCTGTAATAAACAACAACATTTATGTATATATTATTTGCTTAATAAAGACGAAATTATCCTCGTCGAAACGTCACTTAGTATTAAACCCAGTAATTGTGTTGTTTTCCAAAACATTAATTATATGGCCGCCGAAATCTAAAATACAGACAGACATTAGCTCGAAAAGTATTCTTTTAATACCAATAGAAACATACAGGTGTGATATGTCGTTTCAGGAGTTATAAGGGACGAGAAACGCGAATATGATATTTCCTAGCTGATAAAACTAATTTGAAAGGAGACAGCATTAAAAGAAATAAGCATTTTCGCGATTACAGACCTACACGTGTAATAATAACAACTGTTCCAGGCATCCACGAATCTCATCCTGCATATTATATACTAAACAGCAAAAAAGAAAAACGAAAACGTCAGTACGATTTCAAAATCAGAGAGTCACTTTAATCAAATCATTCTAGAAAACGACTTGCTAAATGGATCAAAGAAAATTTTTGTGAACAGTATATTGACACAATAGTGATTAATTCATCACAATTCCAAGACATTACGAGCAGGTTTAGAGTCTGTGCACAGTCTGTCTATACACCAGTATCTGGTGTGTCCATCGCCATTGATGAACGCCATTGGCACCTGAAACCACACTCTCAGAAATGATAGGCGCAATCCATTGGCTGTATTTGGTCTCGGTACATTATTAATTCTCCTCTGAATTTCATCCCAAAGAGGTTCAATCGGGTTTAAGTTCGGACGAAGGGCTGGCCATTGTATAAAGTTGACACCGTTCTGTTGTAGAAAGTCCCGAGTAACTCTGGCGGTGTGGACACGAGCGTTGTCATGCTTGAAAACGTTGTTTCGATGCCGTGCGAAATGTGTTATGACATGGGGTCTGCGAGCTTGATCGATATAGCGCACTGCTGTGATACCCCCTCCTCTCCCTAGACCAATATTTTGGAACACCACAGGACCCACTCTCTGGTTCAGGCCGATTCCAACCCAAACCATTATGTTTTGACCTCCCCATGAGTCTCGTTCCATGACACATTGGTCAGAATAACGAGGGCCACGTCGACGCCATATCCCGGTCCTGCCATCTGCAGTTGATACGCAATACCGACTCTCATCTGTGAACAGAACAGTTCTCCGTTGCCTGTGTCGCCAGTTCTGGTGTTGTTGGGCAAACTGTAGACGTTCACGTCGATGGCGAGGGGTGAGGATCGGTCAACGGTAAAGTCTACGGCAATGAAAGTAATGTCATTCCAATATTATAATGTAAATGTTACATGTACAAGAATTTGAATGGATAATTTCATTATAGTTAAAATTTTCATATGAACTTTCCTTTAGACATTTGTATTTTGTTGCTACACATTTTTTGATACATTCCTGGAAATTTCCACATACATTTTTTATTTTCTGGGAATTTTGGTTGCCTATCTTGAGATAAGTTAATAAGTATTTTAGAGAGTTATTTCCCTTGTTAATAGGGCAACAGATTCTTTTGTTGAAGTCTTCATTATTCCATGTATAAATGTTAATTATTATTAATGAAGAATTGTGTAAAGAGCCTTGTCTTTGTTGAAATATACCACCAAACTGCTTGACAGCCAACGAATATGTTCAATCTCTAAACATTCTCCATATTGTAATAGCACACCTGTTCTTGATCCAATGTGTTAAAAATATGGATTTGTGGTTGACAGGTTTTTTTTAAAGACAGTTGTTTGATTTATTTTCTGACAGTAATCCCAATTTTCCATTATATGGATTTTGTGATCTTTTATTTTATCTTAAGTAAATGTTTTTATGCTTATCATACCATAGATTGTTACAGCTGTAAAACAATTTCCGTAAAATTTACGGACAAATGGGTGGCAGTTAGGTTGTAGTAATTTTTACGGACAAATTTTACAGTGTTGTTGAATTTCTAATAAAAGCCAACCCGGACATTATTTAACAAAGTGATCCGTAGTTTCGAAATGATTCATAATACATGTTATTACCTGAAATGACCCAAATGAAACTGATCTAGCTAGTTTGAATGATATAATAAACAGGACGTTATTTTATAAATTACCGTGTCAAATTATTCACTGCACATTATATTTATGGCTTGAAGTGTCATGCTATTATGAATTTGTAATATCCTTTTAAAAGTTGTATCATGTGTCTTACATAGAATAGCTGGGATTTTTTTTCGGTATCGCCTGTTTAATCGTAATGTTAACCTTTTTATTGATACCGTATTTGCTATTTATTTATGCTAGGGTCGATCCACTTGTTGGCCCAGAAAATTCTCAAAGATTTATTGTTAGGATTTTTCTTTATATATTTGTCACCCACCGAGAACTATCTACTCTGAGAAAATATCTTTGCTCTGAATGACCGCCACGTTGAAAAAATAGTGTACTCATTTGTAATCTGGTTCTAAACTGGTGACAGAATATATATATATTGTGCTCATTATGACCACCATTAACAAAATTATAACACTACTAATAGTAAGTGCAGGAGGACCGCACCACAGAGAAAACAAGACAAACTACAGAGACATTGCAAGAAACAAACAGCATATATCAAATCAAGTAAATGGAACGGAGGGCCATCCCTAAGCGTCAACTGCTCGGCACAGTCCCGGGCCTGTAATAATGCAGACTTCACGGAAATTGAAAAAAAAATATTTACAAGAAATCATTCGTTGATTATAGTTTTTGGACAGAATTTGCCTAATGCCAGGCCTTATAAAAATGAAATCAAACTTTAAAAGAGAATAGTGAACCGATTGGCTACTTCCCGAAATGATATCACTTCTGATGATTATTATAAGTTTTATATAGGAATCAATGTTTAAGCGTCTATGGACATTGATTTTCATTAACCTTTTTTATTATGGCGGGATTTAAGGGCCAAAACTAAATGTAAGTTGAAAGTGTTATTATACATCATAGAAAATACCTAATACCTAAGATGCAAAGTACATATGTCGTTATACTTATAATGATGAATACATAATACCGTTAAAGTAAAAGTCAAATGTCAAATTACAAATGTTTTTTGGAAAAAATTCACTAA